AACATTAATTTTCGTATTGACTGGATACGAAGTTAATCCAGGAAAAGTAAGGGGTAGTAAAGCCACCATGGTTCGACAATAATAAAGCCACCATGGTTCGGCATAATAAAGCCACCATGGTTCTTACATCATGGTCGACATAATAAAACCACCATGGCCTGACACGATAAAGCCACCATGGTTCTTACACCATGGTCTGGCACGATAAAGCCACTATGGTTCTTACACCATGGCCCTGCACGATAAATCCACTATGGTTCTTACATCATGGCCCTGCACGATAAATCCACTATGGTTCTTACACCATGATCCAACATCATTTAGTGTCATCATCGGCTCAGTTCCATGGTTCGACATAATAAAGCCACCATGGTCCGACATCAGTTAGTGTCACCATCAGCTAAGTGTCATGGTTCGACATAATAAAGCCATCATGGTTCATCACCATGGTCTGGCATCATTTAGTGTCACCATCGGCCGATGCCATGGTTCGACCTATAAAGCCACCATGGTTTGACATAGCAAGTCACCATCGTATTAGTGTCATGGTTCTACATAATAAAGCCACCATGGTTCTCACACCGTGGTCCGGCGCAATCAAGTCATCATGGTTTTCACATCATTGTTCGGCTAAGTATAGGTTGCCATGGTTCTTACACCATGGTTCGACCAAATACAAGTCATCATGGTTTTCACACCATGATTCAGTTAAATATGGGTCACTTTGGTCTGTGCGCCATTTTTTGCTATAATTCAGCATGGTATAAGTCGTAAGTAGGACTAGACGTTGACTCGTTCTTACTTCAGACGTGAGGGACTTAATGGGCAGTTCCCTTCTTAAGGCGATGCGATCAACGAATATTTTACACAATTGGTTATATTTGAAACATTTGATGTATCTGAACTTTATGATCACACAAAGTATATCATAATTCTAATATCGTTCACGTACACCTGAGCACATTTGATTGCGTAAGCGCACTAGTATAAGTCTAAAGCAAGTCTGGACATTGAGTCGCTCCTACTTCAGAGTTAGGGGACTTGATGATATATATCCCTAATCGGACCTTTTTCCGAATACGAGCGAACACGGTTAAGCCAAATATGGTTCAGCCATCCAGGTTCAGCCATTGAGGTTCAGACTCGGCCGTTCAGGTTCATCCTCGGCCGTTCACGTTCATCCTCGACCATTCACGTTCATCCTTGGTTGTTTAGTTTCAATTTCGGCCGTTCAGGTTCATCCTCGGTCGTTTAGGTTCAGGTTCATCCTCGACCATTCAAGTTCAGCCTCAGTCGTTCAGGTCCATCCTCAACCATTTAGGTTCAGCTTCGGTAATGCGTTTTGCTCCTTCCCAAGACAAAAGGCACACTAGTCATCTCAAGTACATTTGTTAAGCTTATTCTCCAAGAAAAGGCTACTTCTGACTCTATATACATCTCTCAAACATACATCTCAGGGTAAGTTCATCTCTCTCTCTCTCTCTCTCTCTCTCTCATACTAATCGAACTCAAATTACGATCATCCACTAATTTAACCATCGGAGAGTTCTCCTGGGACCCGTTCCCAGAGAACTCCTGACTGGTTGTGTTGTATTTCAGGTACGAAATTCCGGAACAATCTAACATTGTCGGGTTCGATACCTTCATGGAGCCTCGGAAAATATGAGATTCATCATCCGACAATGATGGCCACATCGTGGATTTTTTCCATCGTCACCCCATAATGAAACGGGACTTCAGTTCGATTTCCCATCTCCAAATCATATCAGTTAAACTACTTAATTTTCATGAAGTTGGTTAGTTCTGATGAGTTTTGCTTCGTATCATGATTAACTGGAACCTAAAATAGATTGATGATGCTTATGAGATAATAATTAATAAGTACGGGTTATAAATGTTATTATAATGAGACTTATGGGTTACAAAAATTAAGGTATTGTTTTTTTTTGTTAGAGTTTCTTGACCACTTTTGTTTGCACTATGTAGACATCCCGCAAACATTTTAACTTATATATCATTTGTTTTTTTTTAAATACTGCAAACATAAAAATGTCTACACATCCTCTTCTTAAACCAGACATAAGATAACCATTTCTAAAAGTAAACAATTTTAGGCTTTAAACTGAATAATAAACTATAGTATATATTTTAACTCATTAAACATTATTCATACTTAATATTTTTTTTATTAAGTTTCAACACAATTTTGTTTTACATTATAAAGGTGTATATATTTATTTATTAGTTAAATATTTTTGTTTTATGTTATAAAGGTGTACGTATTTATTAGTTAAATATTTTTCTTATTGCATATCCATATTGAATGTGGGTTATTAAAATAATTTTCAAAATAAAGACAATTTACAAAATACGACTAATTAATATGATATCAATTAAATATTTTAATTTATTATATATATTTATTCTTTTTGTTTTATAGCTTAATTTCATATTATTAATTCTTAAATGTTTTGGTATAATTTATCAAGATAATGCCACTTAACATTTAGACTATGTATGAAATGAAAAATAAAAAGATATGAATATTTACCAACCAGATTATTTAAGCAGTTAATAAAAAAAATAAAAAAATTATAACATAAACAAGTAAGTAATATTTATATTTAATTATTAGTTAAATAGCTTGATTATTATTTATTTATTTATTCTAATAAAAATAAAAAATAATGACAAATTTAGCTCTCTTTTGACTTATTTTCGAAGAAGTAGCCAAAAAATCTAAACAATACAAATTAGAAGCACATGGTAGTGCCAGGAATCGAATATATATGACTCATTTACACGATGCAAAATATGGAACAAATGTTATTTTAAAAAATTATTATTGTGGTTATATGAATTATATTTCAATATTGTAAAGAATTATTTAAATTTTAAAGTTTAACTCCTTTAAATTTAATAAAAAAAATCAGTTTATATAAATTTCAGTTTAATTTAGCAGCTTGCATACATTAAAAAACAAACTATTTTCTTATTGCAGATTGCAAAAGCTTGATCCCTCTTCTACAGATGGTACACACACCTTTTTACTTCTTCAAAAACAAACATCACCTAAAATATTGAATTTGAGAGTATACTCACCATTTGGGATTCTTGAAGTTTATACCCAAACATGGGGCGTATTAATATTAGGGGTGATATCGTTCTACCGTGGTATTGAAAAAGTTATACCACTACGGTACTATGATTACTCAATTGGTATGGTATTGCTATCAAATATGTTGGCTACCAAACAAACATGTTGGTTTTCGATCGCGTTTATCAATCATAATTAATGTTGATCCTCTTTGTTGGGCTCATCTGATTTAGTAGTAGAACTATTCTATTATTTGATTGATATTTTTATATAAAGAAATTTTAATTGTTTAATGGATGGATGCCCTAAAAACCAAAATTTTCTCCTGAAAGTATTTAAGGCAATCCACAAAATAGGGAATCAAACAATTTAATTGAACATATTCAGAAATTAAATATATTCTTATATTTTATTTCTACTTATTCTCCTACTATATCAAATGTTGATATTTGTCACATTTAGTGACACATTTTGAAGTGAAGTTAAAGTAATTCTCTTGTCAAATTCTTTGTGCTAGGTTTCTAAAACCAATGAGTTAGAATTAATCACCTTCCACTTTCTAAGTCAACTAACAACTTGTGGAAAACATTTCTCACCAAAGTTCAATATAAAAACTTTGATTTATCTAAGATGATGTTTGTTTGGATTTTATAAAGTCTAAACCTATAAAAACAAGTTTCAAACAATTTAAATGGAATGTTTTAGCCTAGTGAGTAAAGATTTGTCAAAAGGGTTTAGTTTTTATATTTGGCAGAAAGGTAATGATTATTTTTATCATTTTGCACGGTCTGTCTAAGGGCAACTCCAACCACAAAACACTATAAAACACTAAAATTATGACTTTTTAACACAAAAATACAGTTTCATTCCAACCACACACTAAAATTTTACACTAAAAATATATTTTAATATCATTATATTAAAAAACCAATTTCATTATTATTATAATTCAATTTAAAGCCATTCCAATTCATTATTATTATAATTCAATTTGGTGTTGATGAGAAGCACCGCTATATTTGGCGGCCAAATTTTCTTGCACAAAAATAAAGGCCAATTTAACGGACGATTGGAACACAAATTAACACCATTCCACTATTTTAGTGGCCGGTTGGACTTCGCCTAAGTAAACAATATGAGTTTATTCAGATGCAGATTTTCCGTCTCTATGCCATTTAGATGTCGAAATAATTAAGATATGAATCATTGGTATCCTACCAAATAGCCCTTAAATATTTAATTCATTAAGTTTGTTAAGTCAAAAAGAAACAAGTCCTACATATTCTGTTAAAACATGTTAACACGTAAGATAAAAAATTTAAACCAAGGCTTCCAATCTTCCATTAAAAAGTGTAATACCCGCAAAAACCGTAGCTTTTTTTCTATTGAAAATGTGATATTACAAGCACTGTATTCGTTGGATACTTTACCCAACCCTAAAGGAAAGAATAATCTATTTATCCGTAGCAGAGATTCAGAGTCAGAACAATGTATGGGATTCAGTATTCATCACAAATTCCTAAAAATATTATTATTTTTAACTGAATCTAAAATCCAAAAAAGACCTACACGAAAAAGAGTGATTCGACTTTTATATTTTTATCGTAAACCAAAAAAAAAAATAAATAAATAAATAAAAAAAAAAATCTGACCGTCCATTGCCTAACCCCAATTGTACTTGCTATACATCATATAAACTCTGAAACATCACCATTTCACCACCCACCACATTTCCTCCACTTTATACACCAATCACTCCTTTATCTCTCTCATGTTTCCTACTTTCTCCTTCACATGCTGCAATTCATTAAACCACCATATATACTTATAACCATTAACAACACAACACTTTCAAAATCAAAACCACATCACATCACATGATCTGATCTGATCTGATCAAAACATGTTCTTCTTCTTCTTCCCCTACCTTGTTTGTATGTTTCTTCCCTTGTTTACACCATCTCTCTCTTTCTCCTTCATCTTCAATGGCTTCAAAACCCCAAACCCGCACAATATAACCATCAACGGAGCTGCTGACATCACTCCCACTGGCATTCTCAAGCTCACCAATGATACCTCCCGGTTAATGGGTCACGGGTTTTACCCGGATCCGATCCGTTTCAAAGACCCCACCACCAAAAAACCCATCTCCTTCTCTACCTCTTTTGTGTTGGCCATCTTGCCGGGGTACAAAAACCCTGGCGGCCATGGACTGGCGTTCACCGTCTCTCCGGCGAAAGACTTCGCCGGAGCTCAGCCCAATCAGTACCTTGGAATCCTTAACGTCATCAACAACAGGAACACATCAAACCACCTATTCGCGGTGGAATTCGATACCGTTCTTGATTTGGAATTTGGTGATATTAATGATAATCATGTTGGAGTCAACATTAACTCCATGTCATCCAAGAACTCCACAAAAGCCGGATTTTTTATCGATGGGAATTCAACAAAACAAGATGTTGATTTAGAAAGTGGGAAAAAGATTCAAGCATGGGTGGATTATGATGGTTTAAAATCCCAACTAAATGTCACTCTTTCACTATATTCACAAAAACCCAATACCCCAATCTTGTCTATACCATTAAACCTCGAATCGGTTTTTCATGATTTCATGTACGTCGGGTTTTCGGCATCCACGGGTGTCCTCGCGAGCTCTCATTATATATTCGGTTGGAGCTTTAACACAAGTGGAAAAGCTCAATCTTTTGATCTTAATAGTCTCCCTTCAATACCAAAAGCTAAAAAGAATCACAAAAGTTTCATAATTGGTGTTTCTATAGCCGCCTTTTTAACTCTTGTAATCGTTGCCATTGTTGGTGTGATCAAGAAAATGAAGAACAAAGATGAAATTGAGGAATGGGAGCTTGATGTGGGCCCGCATCGGTATTCCTACAAGGAGTTAAACCGGGCCACGAAAGGGTTTAGAGAAGAGGAACTACTCGGATTTGGTGGATTTGGGAGTGTATACAAAGGGGTTTTGTGTAATTTGCCTGATTCAAAAACCCTTGTAGTGGCGGTTAAGCGGATTTCGAATGAATCAAAACACGGGATGAGAGCGTTTGTGTCCGAGATTTCAACAATCGGTCGACTCCGTCATCGGAATTTGGTTCAGTTGTTAGGTTGGTGTAGAAAGAGAGATGATTTGTTGCTTGTATATGAGTTCATGGCAAATGGTAGCTTAGACAAGTATATATATGATGATCCAATAATTACTTTAAATTGGGAACAAAGATTTAAAATCATAAAGGATGTAGCGCGTGGATTATTATACTTGCATGAAGAGTGGCAGCAAACAGTGCTCCATAGAGACATAAAAGCAGGTAACGTGTTGTTGGATTCCGAGTTAAACGGGCATTTAGGTGATTTCGGTTTGGCAAAATTATGTGAGCACGGGTCAAACACGAGCACGACTAAAGTTGTGGGGACATTAGGTTATTTGGCTCCTGAGTTGACTCGGACGGGTAAGCCGACCACAAACTCAGATGTGTTTGCTTTTGGGGCTTTGTTGTTGGAAGTGGTTTGTGGGAGGAGACCTACTGAGCCAAAGGCGTTGCCTGAGGAGCTTATTTTGGTGGACTGGGTGTGGGACAAGTGGAGACAAGGGGTGGTTTTAGAGGTGGTTGATAAAAGGTTGAAAGGGGAGTTTGATGAGGTGGAGGTTTTGGTGGTTGTAAAGCTAGGGCTGATGTGTTCAAGTAACGCCCCGTCAGCACGACCTCCTATGAGGCAGATTGTTAAGTATTTGGAAGGGGAGGTGCCCTTGCCGGAAAATTTAGCTCCACCCTGTGATGGTGGTGACAAGGGTAGTTATGGAATAGAGTTTGAAGATTATGTGCATTCTTATCCATCTTCATCTGCTTTAGACAATGTAAGCAATGGGTCAGTGAGAAGTGACAACTGAAGGGAGAGTATGTTGTTGATGTTCTTTAAGATATTGATTTTTGGGCTTGTTTATATTTTCTTTATTTTATTATTATCTTCAGTTCTGTAGATTGATCTTTATGCTGTAGCTGGTTGTGTTCTTTTTGTTATTAGAATCAAGGATTGTATCTATAGGCATGCAGGGGCGAAAGTAAATAACTAATATTAATTATTATTTTTCATGTGTTAAAGAGTAGAATAACATTTACATGACGGAAAATACACCATCAATTTCTTCATATTTAGACAGAATATATGTCCGAAAAAAGAATAAAGAAAACTAAGAATTCTTACCTACTTCATGTACATTATTTTCACAATTCTCTTCTTCACGATCTTTTAACCCAATAAAAATCTCATGATCATCAAACCCTGTAAAGAAAAGACTAAATAAATATAAAAGCTCACAAAATGAAGTACAGTATATTTTAAAATAAATGATTAAAGAAAAGTTGAAAAAGTACCTTCACCAAGGGCTTCAAAATCATCAACTTGGGGTGGGCCTAAAACCATAATGTTACCTAACGGTGGATCAACAGTCATCCAATCTGACCTACCAATATCATCTGTGTTCATCTCCCTCTCAGTTACCCAACCCTCAACATAGTTAATATTGTCATATGAAATCGGATCAGGGTTATCTTCTTCTTTGTTCAAAAACCTAGAAAATCATCTGTATTTCAGTCCAGATTCATGGTTTAGGTACGAAAACAAACAAGAAACATATATATATATATATATATATATATATATATATATTATATATATATATATATATACGGGACTTACATTTGTTTTAATCTCATGTTATATTGAACAAATACAATGTCACTGAGCCTCTGGTGTTCTACATAATTCTTTGTTTCATGAATCTGTTGGAATGGAATCCTGTTTGGTTTACACCCAACCAAACTACAAGTTTGACTAAGTATACGAATAGCCAAACGAGCCAAATTCGGACAAGCCCCTCCATATGTAGACCACCACTCAGCTACATTATTAATCAATAATGAAACATAATTATTACTCAAACTGTAACTTCAAAACACCATATTAGCAAAAGACTAAGATTTAAGTCTTACCAGGAAGTAAAGTCTCTCTGCCTCTTATTGCAATTTTCCTCCCAAAATCGCCAGTGGCTTCACTATAAGATGCTGTTTCTTTAACAATTTTATCTTGGATTGTAGTGTCAGGAACCAATCTTTCTACACAATCATACACTGATGACCTGATTTGAAGATGTATATCTCCTTCTGTACTGTAAAAGAACTTTGGATTTAAATAAAAACCTGCAGTGTGAAGAGGGTGGCGATGAAGCTGTTCCCACCTACGATCTATTATGTTCCAATAAACCATATAATCTTTCTTATCAATAAGTTCTTTTTTAATTGCTTCTTTTGCCCGATATACCCCTGCATAAACATACCCCATTCCTGGTCTCTTTTTCCCACTAACAATTCTCAAAAGCCTCAACAAAGGATCTGTTAAATGGGTGATCACTGTACACATTGACCAAAAAGATGGATTGCTTATATAATCCAAAGTAGTGTACCCCTCTTCTTTCTTGGAATATGAACAATCCATCCATTCCTCTGAGGTTACCATGGATTGGAGGTTGTGCTTCACACTTACCATTCTTTTCAATGTGGAGAAATCTGTGGATGCACGTGTGGGACCCACTACAACGATGTCCACCCCAAAAGTGTACCTTCTCATCATATTCAATACAAAGCTATGATTGTAAATGAATCTTGATATTGATCTAGCTTGTTCAAGAATCGTACTTATCCATTCAAGTTCTCTGAAATCATCTAACATCAAATCCACACAATGAGTCGCACATGGAGTCCAGAAAATGGTGGGGAAATTATCGGTGATTCGTTTCCCTACTTCAATATAACGTTCTTCATTGTTAGTAACAATCTGGAGAACATTTCTTACTCCAACTTCTTCAATGATTTCTTTAAATAAACCATATAAAGCGTCTATGGAGTCTATAATGTTGATCACATCAACAGACCTCAAAAACATTAGCCCTTCAGGACAATAAACTGAGAAATTCAGAAACATTTTACCATTTTCTGAAGTCAATTCATCGACTAAAACAGAACAACCACTCTTTCCCCAAGTCCCCGTGCATTGATCAACATCTGTTCTAACTTCTTGAACTGTATTCTTTAAAATCCAGCTTCGAAGATCGTGATATGAAGGCCCCACAACTCCTGACCCTTGTGAAGCAATTGCATCAATCATGGGCTGGAAATATATGGAGTTCACAGCATCTAAAGGTACACCAACATCAAATAAAAACCTCCCAATTGCTAAACTAACTTGATGGTTAACCCTTTTTGAATCATCATACACAGTATCAATAAGGGCAAGAGCATTCGAACCTTTTCTCACTCTACATCCTTTCTTTCTTCTACCTCCACCTCTCTTACTACTAACAGTACCTTCTTCTTCTTGAGTCAGTAATAAACTAGGATTGGGCTCAATAGCTTCTGCAACAGGAAGCATTACAGCCTCAGTGTTCAAAGCAGATTGATTAGCAAAAGAATCAGTCTCGCCAGAATTGAAATTAGTGATTTCTTCAGCCAATTTCTGTTTCTTTCTCTTCTTCACTACGACACCATTTAAGCTCTCTTGCATCAACAGACGAACATCAGGCTGTACTCTTAAACAACTGGACGCATTACCTTTTTGGCCTGCGAGGTGTTCTTTAATCCTGTGAATTCCACCGCCCTTGAACATTTTGCCGCAATATATACACTTGAGTTGGACCTTATCGCCACTTTTGTACATTTGGCAATGCTTCCATGCTGGATCATGTTTTTGTGAATTTACAGGTACTGGTTCTAAATCGGAAGCCATTTTTCAGACTTCGCATGCAAGCGCAAAGCTAGCTATCTCTATAATATCTATATTTAAGCACTAATAATCTACAGCATTAGTAGCTACACATTTCAACCATTGACGAATAAAATTGTATCGTCAAACAATTATATATGCAAAATCAACGACAACAGAAGAGCATACGAAACCCGGATTAGACAGAAGAAGAGGTTGATTAGACGGAAACTTACTTGATTTTTTTTAATTTCGTCGTCGAAATTCTGGGGAGACCGAGTTATGGAGGTTAGGGCTAATATATACTCGGAAGATGAGTCGATGTAGAACCGGATAGACCGGTTACGTCTCCACTTTCACGGGTTTTTATCAGCCCGGGTTTTAATATTAACCCGATTTTGCGGTCCAAGTAAGCGTTTGAAAGTTGCAACTTCCACAAAATAAGCGGTTTTCTAGAAGCGGATCCGAATATCTCGGGCTGCATTTAACATATTGAACCGGATGTTAGTTCGACCGGCGGTCGCCAAAAAGAGACCGGTAAACGCCTCCATCAAACCGGTAATCTAACAAATTTTCATGTAATTATCAAATTAGGAACAACTGTTCTAAACCAAGACTCCGGCTTCGGAACGATGAATTGTTCTTAATTTTCACAAATTAAAGATATTTGAATTAAAGTTTCTTAGTTGCATATGGATTTTGGATTAATATTAGGGATTTAGAGTACATACTACATCATGAACATGATTTGTAGCCTATATGATGATTTGTTTCATCGGAAGAGCGACTTTTCTTCCGATCCGAAACAGAAACATGCATTGCTGCTGTTCATCTTCTACGAAGATTTCAATTGTGGACGTACCTCCGTTTACAAATATCTGAATCCACGGATCTTTTCTGTAATCAGAAGTGCTTTTTAAAAATTATTTTTCACTTTTCATGTATTTCCAAAAATAGATACATATCAGGTTAAAGATTCGCAACACAAATATCAGCAGAAAGCAAAACCAAAAAATGGCAAACAAGATGAAGAAACCATATTGAGAAAAGGTTTAGCTGAATAAAACAGAACATATGAAGTTCATACACAAGGAAAACTTATATGGTCATTCCTAATACACCACAGCCTCTGCAACCACACCTCACCTCACCACAACATAACAACACACATTTCCATTTCCTTCTATCTTCCTCTTTTTACAGGCTTAAACAACTTGTACAGTACACTCATCTTACCTTCTCTCTCTCTCTTCAGGCCACGGGCATCTTTCACCCTCTTTCAGCCATGGCGGAGACCCCATATTTCCTAGGTATATCCTCAAACTAACAATGTACAATCTTTTATTTGCAAATTCACTCTTACATATCTTCCAAATAAACCCGGAATAAGAGCTTCATAGCACCAAAATAAACCCAAATAAAAAAACTAATAAAACACAAACCATCCATCCATCCATCATACTTCAGACTTCATACTTCATACTCAGTTAGCTGTACAACTTCGATCACCTCTCTATAACCTTTCCCTAAGTAGTAGTAGTAGCAGCAGCAGCAGTAGCCATGGAAGCTGCAGCAGCATATCCCGCCAGTATCCCAATCCTCCTTTCTGTATATCAATAAAAAAAACATATCAAAAATGTTTCATCAACACCATGCATGGTTGATGGTTTTGATTTTATTTAAATATAGTATTATACCTCCAGCAGCAACAAGTTTCTCTACACGAGCAACTATATGTTTCCCATAAGTATACTTTTTCAGAGCATTCAGATGAACTTTAATACGATTAAGTATCATTTCAAGTTGGCGATCATCACACGTCTCCAACACTTTTTGTACAACATAATTAGCAAACTGATCTTTCATCATTACCTGATACCAAAAAAAAGTATTAAACCTTCTACACTGATTTTGTATTTTTGTCATGGAAAACTTAATAAAAATAAAATCAAGTAAAAATTAACCTGGAGTGGTTCGTTTTCATCAGTGGTGCCTAGCATCTCGGTGACAAGAATCTGCCGCTCCTCGGGTGTACCAAAAGTCAAACATTTTTCAACAACATTGGAAGCAAACTTTTGTTGACTCATTTGAACTATCTGCCCGATTAATTGATCGATAATAGACGTGCGTTCGTGTGGCTTTCCATGTTCGAGCACATGCTGTTATAAAAAAAAAAAAAACATCAACATTATGTAATCGTTTCAATAATTTATACTTTTTACAGAAACAGTTTTTATCGTTTATAAAAACCTACCTGAACAACATAATTCCCGTATTGATCTTGTGCAAGCATGCGTACAGATTTCAAGATTTCATCCATGACTATGGTTTGTGTTTTTGGGTTGCTACAGTGCTCGAGGACTCTCTGTTAGTAAAATTTCAATCATTTAGCAACAAGATCGAATAAAGAAAGTGAAATAGGTTACCCAAATGTTTAAAAAATGTAAATTTGTCTGCTTTTTTTACCTGAATAACGCGACAACCATATGGGTGTGTTGACAATGTAACAACTTGATCATAAAATGTTGATATGATGAAATGAATAGCATCTTCCGGAATGCATTCAATGCACTTTTGAATAACATGATTACCATTTTGATCGCGTACACATCGCATTACATGACCATCAAGCTCTGCTACCATTTTTCTTTGTTGGTCCAAGTCAACTACCTCTATAGCCTAAATGAAAAAAGTCAAACATATGCTTTCAAATGCATAATATGTCTTCGAAGTTGTAACCTTAAAATGTTTACCTTTTGGATTACTCTGCAACCATACATCTGTAGACTAAGGGTTAGGACATGGTCATCAAGCTGGTCTGCCAGTTCTCTTATTTGAGAAGCAGTTCCATGTTCAAAAAACTATATTTATAAAACAAAAACAAGAAAATTCTTTAATGTCATATATTGATAAAGAATAAAGATAGTCAAACACCAATTTACCTTCTGGATCACGTAATTACCGAATACATCAGTCATAAGTGAAAGAGCCTGAGGCATAATTTCATGAAAAACCATGTTTTTCTCTTCTGTGGTAGAGGTTTCGAGCTTTTGTTGAATGAATCGACTTCCATACTGATCGGAACTGCAGAAATTAAAGTTTAAAATGAGTTTTTGTTATGTCATAAGTGTAGTTGTAGCATGAAGAAGTAAAACTGTAAAACGAACCTGAATTCAACAACATGTCCTGCGATTTCTGAAAGCTCAAAACATTTGGTTTTATTACTCTTGAACTCATCAAGCAAAGAAGATGCAAAAGCTTCTTCAAAAGATCCGGTGAAGCCTCCGGGTAAGTTTCTCATTCCAGAAGGGAAACGAAGACTCCTTTCTCCATGTCTGACAGGGCTGCCTGAGTTGGGGAGGAGAGGTCCGGCCAGTGGACTGGTGGGGTAGTTTCCATAGTAACCATGAGTTAAACTGTTTGTTTTGTTAAGGTAAGGAAGACCATACGGTGATTTTTGAGGTGATAGCAGGCCTGAAAGGTAAGCTTTCTGAAGTGCTAGTAACTCCATTGTTGGATCATTCAGAGCAGCAGCGTATTGAAGATTCTGTAACTCTGCAGCTGCAGCGAGTATATTAGGTCCCAAAGCAAACCCACCTCCCATGGCTCTGGAATCCATGCCACCACCACCCATCATGGAAGGTGATGCAGGATTCATCACATACCCACCTAGCCCATAGTTTGAATAAGATGAATTTGGACTGTCCATGTGTTGGTAGTGCGGAGAACCACCTGCTCTCAGATGGGAGTTAACCGGAGAACCTTGTGCATCGCCTGAAAAAGAAGGGTTGCTCATGTTGAGATACAAACCTTTGTTGGTCAAGTATGGATGTTTCATATGCGTGTTCTGCTCATCAATCTCGTTTTCTTGATTTGTCATACCATCTGCTGATAGACTCATGCCTGCCATGGCTGCTGCTAGGTCGGAATGTTCAGATGGAGCAGAGTTAACCCTGCCTCCTGCAGCCGAAATGCGAGGGCTAGCCAATCTGGCCACCAGTTGAGGGTCAGGAGTGGTGCTTCTAGACAAAGAACCACCGAGTGCAGATGCGTACGTATGAGAAGCTGATGACATCGCGTGAGGATGGTTTGGGCTCGAACGTAAAGCTTCCATGGAAACCAGATCTTGGTGAAGACCAAAATGGGTTTCAGAGGGTTCGATGTTTTCGTCAAATGTGTTCCGGCTTGCCGGACGAGATGGATGACGAGAACTAGATGCTGCTTGAGTCATGTCATCCTGCAGTTGGAAACGGAGTTTAAGCAATAACTAAAAGGGAAGATTCAAAAGCTACAAATTTCAGACAAAAACGATGACAAGTTTCAAACCTTAAAGATCTCCGCAATGCTCTTCTGCCTACTTCCTGACCCCAATCCAGGCAACCCGATAAGCCCATTGCCTCCCCATTCGGCGGCGGCAGATTCACCGCTGTGTGACTTCCTCCATTCGGTCGGTCCATGATTCTCTTCTTTGTTCCCATTGAACCCTAACTGGCTTGCAAATAGAGACCTAGTATTACTCCCATCATCCCTGTTTACCTTCCTCCTATCGCCAATAGCAGAGCCACCAATCCCACTTCCACCGCCGCCTTGCAGGCGCTGCGCATATCGCCAATCCTCCTTCGACAACAGCGGCGGCGGAAGCCTAGGGTTCAGATTCACATTAGCGTAGTAATACGAAATGTATGCCGGATCAGACCTTAACTCATCTTCTGAAATCCCGCCTAACTCGGCCGTCAGACCACCACCGCCACCAAACAGTCCTCCGACTGCATTCAATGACCCTTCCACCGTCGGCGGAGCTGAACCGCTGCGATACATATTAAGCTCCCTCTCGCGATCGCCGCTACTGTTACTCATCATACTAGTACTGCTAATAACCTCTTGCCTACGCTTCTCCCTCATCAGCAAGCTCAGCTCCTCGTTGTTAGAAAGCACCGATCGCATTCCGATATCGGACATCATCTTGGAATAACTATCAGTAATCATCACAACATTTGCATGAAATTAACCTCTTCAAATAAAAATTAAATACTATCGAGCTTCAATTAACAAAACTTATAAAGCTACGATCTTTACAAACTTCTAGATCCTAAATTACCTTAATTGCATAACAATCTACTGAACCAAACAAGTTTTTTCGTAATAATCTATTGTGTATGTGTAAATTTACAGAAATCTTTTAAAGATCCGAAGATTCAATATGAACCATCCTTCCAATCGGCTGATCGCCAACAAAATAACAAATTTTTTTGGCCATTTTCAGTGTGCTAAAGATCGAGTGAGAGACTTTCGAACAGAATAGTGCAAGAGAGAGTGCTAAAAGAGAAAGAGAGGGGATTGATAAGCACGAGAGGTGGGATGATATAGACCGTTAGATTAAAAAGGGTGACGGTAGAGATTGGATTGTGTAGCGTGATTTGTTCTTACAAAAGCAAAGTTTAGGGTTTTATTTCAAAGAATCTTGAGCTGATATCCGATTTGCTTGGGTTCTTGTTATCACTTCATTATTTTATTTAAATTATCTATTTATATAAAAAATTAAGGCAATTCTTCATGTACCATATCTCCTCGTCATATTAATTGTTAAGAAATAGGGCAATTGTCCTCGTCACCAAAATCATTATTCTATCAATTTAAAATTTTGTTCAGTGTTAAATTATTAAGAAGGTGTTTCGAGTACTTATTCAAAATGATACCTATTTTGTAATTCGACTTATAGGTATTAAAATGAAATTTTTAAAATGTGTTTGACAATTTTTAATAAGTTAGTGAGGAGTGAAATCGATAATAAATTAATAAACTCCTTAAATCAAGTTAGCCAGACACACTCTAAAAGGCAATATAATTTATATACAATGATGTCTCGTAAAATTGTTAGAACGATATGTATAATGAATAAAATTATCATTTTAACCTTCTAACTATTTACCCAATAACTTGATGATAATTAGGATCCCTATTCTTCCAATTTCGGTTCATTTTGGTATGTTGGGAAGATGAGGAGATTAACTTTAGAATTTATTTATAGAGAAATTCAGCAAGAAGCTTTCAGGTTGGAAAGGTGCCCGTCCTCTTAGGTCATGCTGGTAAGGCCTTGTTTTTAATGAAATTCACTCTTCAAAGCTTGCATTTTTTCCTCCTTGTCCAGGGTCCTGAAAGGAATGGCTAGTAGGATTGAAGGAATTAGGACGAAATGTCTACGGGTGTTGGAGGGAGAGACAGAATTCATCTCATCACATAGGAGAAGGCTCTCCGAAGCTTCGATTTGGAGGCTTGGGCTAGAGCTCTAGCTATTTAGACTATAAGCTAGTTATTTTGGTCTACTTGTTGGGCAGGCCGACCCTCCTTCATCCCTTCGTTCCAATCCATCCATACTACTATGGCAACCCGTACTAATTGCCCTTGCACTGATACCGGTAAGGGGAGTGTCGGCCAGAAGATAAGAATAAGAACAAAATTCATGGGGTTTTTGGTTCCTTAGTAGCTTTGACAACATCTGTCTCTATGTGAGCCCTCATCTCATGTTCCTACTACCTCTTAACTTCAAGTGGGAGTGATGGACGAGTAAAGATCGCCAACTCTTTCTTCCCCGTGAATTGGCTTCAACTGAAATCGGGCGGACCGGCTTCTCCCTTTGAGCATAACATGTTTTTAGGGAGTAAGTCACTTAATATATTATAATATGTAAGAATCGATTCTTACATCACATCAAAATAGCATGTCTATATACTTATTGTAACATCCGTCTCTCGAGGTATTATTTAAATTATGTAAATTAATATTAGCTTTGGGCTAACACTTGGACAATGGACCTTTTGGGGTGGACCTTAGCAAAATGGGCCAAGAAGTTGGGTTGCCCATAAGTCGTACGTTGGGCGTAACCTGGCGTACGTGGGGCGTAGTGGCCCATTGGATTCGAGGGACTCGGGGGCGTACGCGCAGCGTACCAAGATGTACGCCCAGCGTACGCGGGCAGATGCCAAACCCTAATTTTTAGGGTTTAAGACATATAAATACCCCATTATAGCCTCCCCTCTGGCCTCCTCACCAGTCCATCACCCTCAGAAAACCCTAGTTCATTTTTGGTGAAGAAAGGCTTGGAAGAAGTAAAGAGAAGTTGGAGGAGAAGCACTTGAGTATCTTGAGCTCAAGGATCTGGAACTAGTTCATCTTTTGGCACCTAAAGGAGGTATAAAGCTCCTATCTTTCCTCTTAGAAGCTTACATCTAGGGTTTTGAAGCTTTAGACCTTTTTAGGTCCAAAGAATGGATCTTGCTCATGCAACTTCGTTTTTGAGCTTAGGGTTGCCACCATTGAAGCTCAAAGTGTTCCTTTAGCAGTAAAGTTGCAAGCTTTGAGGCCTTTATGTAGCCATGCATGAGATCTCGCCATTTCCATGGAAGTTTATTGCTATTTTTAGAGTTGGGTTCATTTGGTGGGTTGCAAGCCACCAAGTGATCGACTTTATGGGTTAGGACGAAGTATTGGACTCAGATTTGTAGTTTAGACGTAGTGTCTTAAGGGATTGAGCAGTTTTGGAGAAAATGGCTTAACAGGAGAGTACGCTGGGTGTACACGCCAGTACGCGCAACATACAAGTCATTCAAGCAGTACGCGCAACGTACAGAAGGGTACGCTCAGCGTACGCTCAGACAGTGGGCTTTATGTTATTGGGCCTCAGTTTGGGCCAAGCTTTGGACATAGCAGTAGTTGGGCCGTGATGGGCCTTCAGAAGTTAGTCAAGAGCCCAAGGACTAGTTGGGCTTGTGAGGAAAGCCCATTTGATTATGGATGGTTTATGGTTTTATAATAATTTTCAAAACGAAATTTTTGGACTGTATTTTTGGGATGTTTCACTTATCTACAAGCAGTTCCTCTTGTTTACCTTCCATTCATTTTGAAAGAGAAGGTTTCCTCTCACCTAAAGAATGGATCAGAGAACGACGACCTACGCATTGCAGCCACAACATTACTGGGTAAACTAGTATAGATTTCGGAAACTCTGGATCCCCAAGTTGAAGACTATCGCCCACAATTAGAACCATCTAAAATAACGTCTATGATGGATCCATTACGAATGTCTCGTCTCAGAAGACCATCACTCAAGTTTCATTGATCGAGCAACGCGGTTATTTCATGGACCTGTCCGTTCCTAGTTAAAGTGTAGGCCTTTTGGACTTAAGCTGGGATTTGGTATTTCGAATCCCCCAAGTGTTACTATCATTTATAGGCATCGTCTGTACTTAAAATTTCCTTTTAGTGTAGTTTCTCAGAGATATATGGATTAATAAAAAAAACAAAAAAAGGGGGACGAAAGAAAAGAAAAAAGGTAGTTTACTTTCTTAGTGCCTGTGCGCTAAGGGAAGAAATATCAAAAAGTCGAAACTTTCGAAAGCACACTCACTCTTCTCAAAATCTCTTAAGATAAGAAATATATACCTATGAAAAGGAGCGAGCGAAGAGAGCATAAAGAGCTTACTTATAAGGTACGAGCTTAGAGCCTTGTGTCACTTTGGTATGCTAATCACTTCGTTGTACGACTTCGTAAGGGTAGTCGCTTAGTGCGACTACACTATGGGATGCAAAGAAGTTTCGTCACCCTTCTTGAGTTTAGTTGCTTATACTTTTTTCATCATTATACTCTCCAAGCCCACTGCTCGACGCTCGCCTGACAAATCGCTCTAAAGTTTCTTTGATCACTTAGGACAGACAATCTTTCTAAAAAAGAAAGTGGCTATGACGTGAATTGCATTGTGCTCATCAACATGTACTGCACCATGTTGAATAAAGGTTCCTTTTTTCAATTGAGATATTGCGTATGATAAGAGAAATAAAGGTTCCTTTTTTCCGATATGTTGCTTCGTGACCAAGGAGCGATAGAAGCTAGTATTCTGTAATGAATAATAAGAGTTTGGCACTATATAGGAATCCAACACCTAGTGATTTACATTTTACACCTTATCTTCTCGACTTTCGGTGGAAAAACCAACCGCGTCTTCCAGCAGGAGTTCCACGCCTTTTTTAACCTGCATAAAAAAGGGACGTCTTGCGCGCGTCGGGTATGATCCCGATGTCGGGCAGAGTAGAGCGAATGAAAAATTTTGAATGAGAAAATCATTTTCAAATGAGACTTTATGGTAGTCCTACGCTAAGTGATCTAGAATTTATGGTAAATGAGGGTTTTTCTTTATTTTCAGGTGGTACCTCTTGTAACATCTTAATTTTCCAGGTATTCTCTTTTGACCCTTGGATTGTGATTTGTTTACAAAATTGGTCGCTAATGGCATTTTCGTAATTTCGACCATACATGAGTACGATGGGCGTACTCTGAGTACGTTGGGTGTACGTAGCCATGGTGCAAACCCTAATTTTTAGGGTTTGGACACTATTTAAACATCTTTATGGCCTCACACTCCTTATTAACTCTAACCTCTTTCCTCATTTCGAAACCCTAAAGTGTGTGAGTGCCTTGTGAAGCTTGAAGAGCCTTTTGGTGCCATTTTGGAGCTTTTGGAGAAGAAGGAAGAACATTGAGGTTGTAGTGTTTCACTCAAGGACTTGGATCTAGCATCTTCATTCCTTTATGCATCTTCTGGAGATATAAAGCTCCAACCTTGATGAGCATTTCTTTTAGATCTAGTTTTAGCTTAAAGTTGGTCCCTTTTTGTCCCAAATCTTGACCTTTGTGAGCATGGAATGCTCCAAGATGTTTGAGTTGTCCTTTCAGATTTTTTAGGGGCATGTTAAGTCATAAAAATGGGATCTTGTACATTGGTTTCTTCTCATACATGGTCTAGGTTGTCTTAATGGGTCAATAAGTTAGGGGTTTTGTTATTAAGGTCTTAATAGCCATGCAAAACCATAATGTTGGAAAATTTATGGTTAAGATCACCTTTTAGAGTATGGATCTGGATTTTGGGCGAATGTGCTTAAGGATTAAGCACTTAATGGGTTGAGTTGGTTGGCAGTCGCGTACGTTGGGCGTACCAAAGGGTACGTTGCGCGTACGTGGTCATCCCCTCGTTTTTTGGTCAAATGTTTGGTATGCCCCGCGTACCTGTTGTGTACGCCCGGCGTACTCACTGAGTCGACTCAGTTGACTCAGTTGACTCTGACTTGGATTTTGACTAGGGTTTGACCTAGGGGTACTTTAGGTATTTTGATATGTATGTTGAGATTGTTGTCACTTAATTCATTGAGGTAACTGGTAGAGTAATCTCGGAGCGGCGTGCTATTCAGTTTTTCTCATTTGTTTGTGAGGTGAGTCTCATCACTAGATCCATGGGTCGAAGATACCCATGTCGGCCCATTAATTTGTTGTGTAGAATGCTAGTTGTCTCTGTAATACATGCATAAAAGACCAGGATCTCGCCCCTAGCAATTGTATGAAAAACCAGGATCTAGCCCCTAGCACTTGTATGTAAGACCGGGATTTAACCCTTGGCATTGCAAGGAACGACCATGATTTGGCCCATGACATGAAATGATTGCAAG